GCTAGTGACCATTTGTTTTGTTTTGAATTGTGGTCTCACGTAGTCCAGCTGCCCTCAAACTTGCTGTGTAGCCAAGGCTGGCCTTAAATTCCTGATGCATTTGCTTCTGCCTTCTAGTGCTGGAACATGCATCACCCTGGCTGGCTTGTGTTGTTTTGTGACAACCTCAGTTACAGGTAAGTAAACACGAGGAGGAGATGTTTTGGCTTCACTGCCTGTAAATTGTGAGTGATTCTGGGAAGTCAGGGGAATAAGATGTTCTTTGTACTGAAATGATAATCTCAGGGGACATCAAGTGGATTTTTTTTTTTTTTTTTTTTGAGATACATCTCACTTTCTCTGGGATTAAAGATTTATGACAAGATGCCTGGCTTAAGTAATGTCATTTTTTAAAGACCTTGGGTTTTTTTTTAAGTTATACTGTTTTGTATTGTGACATTTACCTGAGATCTTGGTGATAAACCAGAAAGGAAAGTTTCCGGTTTAATAGTGGTGTATTTGTCAAATAGACAAGGGGTCTATAGCCTGTTAGTTTTTGCCACAAACTTGACACAAACTTAGTCACCAGGAAGAGGAAACCTCAGTTAAGGAAGGACTTCCACCATTCTACCCTGAGGGCTTGTCTGTGGGGGCATTTCCTGATTAATGATTGATGCGGGAGGGCCCAGCCCACTGCAGCCTTGCTCTGTGTTATCCCTGACTTTCCTTGGTGATGATTACCTGGCCATGGAAGATAAGTACCCTCCAACCCCCTTCTCCCCCAACCCCAGGTTTCCTTTGGTCGTTTTTTCTTAAATTTTTATTTTTTTATATTAATTATACTTTGTATCCCAGATGTAGCCCCCTCCCTCATTCCCTCCCAATCCCGCCCTTCCTCCCTCTTCTCCTCCCATGCCCCTCTCCAAGTCCATGGATAGGGGAGGTCCTCCTCTCCTTTCATCTGACCCTAGCCTATCAGGTCTCAACAGGACTGGTTGCATTGTCCTCTTCTGTGGCCTGGCAAGGCTGCTCCCCCCTCAGGGTGGTGGTGGTGGTGGTGGTCAAAGAGCCAGTCACTGAGTTCATGTCAGAGATAGTCCCTGTTCCCTCACTAGGGAACCCATTTGGAGACTGAGCTGCCATGAGCTACATCTGTGCAGGTGTTCTAGGTTATCTCCATGCATGGTCCTTGGTTGGAGTATCAGTCTCAGAAATGACTCCTGTGCCCAGATATTTTGGTTCTGTTGCTCTCCTTGTGGAGCTCCTGTCCTCTCCAGGTCTTCCCATCTCTCCCTTCTTTCCTAAGATTCCTTGCACTCTGCCTAAAGTTTGTTTATGAGTCTCAGCATCTGCTTTGATGCTTTGGTAATTTTTATTACAGCAACACAGAAGCAAAGCAGAAAAGCCAGGATGGTGGGGGGGGGGGCAGGGGGGAGATGGGAGGGATGGAGAGGACACAGAAAGACAAGTACAAGCATGGACACAGACTGACAGACGGGGACTGGACAGGACAGGACTGGACTGGACTGGATGGGATAGGACGGGACCAATGGACACAGGCTGGGATGTCTTGTTCAGAGCAGGGTCTAGTTACAATTCTCTGTGAGAAGCCCCTGGCGAGGGATGTTATTTACCAGAGGATCTCCTGAAGAGTCAAGCAGGCATCTCCCGCCAGGCTAGGGGAAAAGGAAGCCTTTAAAGGAAAGACCAGGGAGCAGATCCTGCCAAATGAGCCGTCTGCTGCATGCTGGGACACGCGGCCACCCTTGCAGCTCTGCTCCCTCTTCTGGTCACCAACTGATGTTTACTTAGCTTAGCGTTTGGGGCCCCCCAGTGGGCAAGCGTTCTGCTGTCTCACCGGGTTTGTTGCCATTCCTAGAATGCGTATTGCAAGCTTAACAAGTGGATTGGCCATAGACTGATCCGCCTCCCTTAGAGAAAAGCCTCACCACTGGGCACTGCATGGGCTTTGTCTTGGCCACTCGGGTCGCACCATTCCTGGACCAGCCATGACTGCGGAGGCCGGTGAGGCCACCTGGCTTGTGTCAGCTAGCCAGCGACCAGTCTCCCTGGCTGTGTGTGGTGCTGTTCTCCACGCCGAGGTGCTTGAGTCCACACCCTCGTTCCAGAATGAATGTGGCCTTCTCAAAGCGCCTGTCCTGGTTTTCTGGTTTAATTTCAAGCCTCCGACCACATGGTCTGACCACGGGCCATCATGGCCCAGGACACTTTTTTTTTTTTTTTTTCCCCTTTGAGACAGCATCACATTCTTGGCATAGACTAGCCCGGAACTCACTGTACCAGGTGTCTGGCTTCAAGGTCCTGGCAATCTTGTCTCAGCCAGCTCAGTATTGAAATTACAGCTGTGAGTAACCAGGCTGGGTGAGGAATTTACACTCAGTTTAGGCCACTTTTCCTCCTCTTCCTCCTTCTGCTTCTAATCATTTTAAAAAATTTATTTACCTTTATTTTTTTATGTGTACTGGTATTTGGCCTGCATGTATGTGAGAGGGTCAGATCTTGGAGTTACACAGTTGTAAGCTGCCGTGTGGGTCTGGGATTCGAACCTGCGTCCTTTGGTTCAAATACACTCTGGTTCCAGTATACACGGGTCCTGATGTGTATACTAGGCCCGGGCTTTTCATTCTTTTTGCAGGTTATACAGCTCCCTCTGGAAGGCAGGGCATGGAGTCACAGCAGGAGCATTGCTGCGTCTGGGGCACCCACTCATACAGCTTCCTTGTACATTTTAGCTCTTTGAGGACTTGATTTTTTCCCCCATTTATTTATTTTAGCAGGAGGAAGTGCCCACACTAGCACCTGTGTGGAGGTCAGAGGATGTGCAGGCTGGTCTTACGTCAAATTGATACAGGCTAGAGTCATCAGAGAGGAGGGGAGCCTCAACTGAGAAAATATTTCCGTAAGATTGGCTGTAGGCAAGCCTGTAGGCATTTTCTTAATGAGTGATTGATGGGGGAGGCCTACCCCATTGTGGGCGGTGTCACCCCTGAGGTGGTGGTCCTGGCTCCTCTAAGAACAAGCCATAGGAAGCAAGCCAGTAAGTGGCAACCCTCCATGGCCTCTGCATCAGCTCCTGCCCTACTGGAGTTCCCCTAACTTCTTTTGATGAAGAACTGTGATATGGGTTCATAAACTGAATAACGCTTTCCACACCAAGTTGATTTAAAAAGATTTATTTATTTATTATGTATACAGTGTTCTGCCTGCAGGCCAGAAGAGGGCACCAGATCTCATTATAGATGGTTGTGAGCCACCGTGCAGTTGCTGGGAATTGAACTCAGGACCTTTTGGAAGAATAGCCCACTCTTAACCTCTGAGCAATCTCTCCAGGCCACCAAGTTGCTTTGGTTACGGTGTTGCATCATAGCAGTGAGGTCCTAGTAACCCCATCTAGGACAGAGGACAACCTGCAGGAGTCAATCTACCATGTTGTTCCTGGGGATTGAACTTGGGTTGTTAGGCTTGGTGGCAAGTGCCTTTACCTGCTACCTTGCTGGATCAGAAAGGACGTGATTAAACCATTACTATTTTATGATGCTGCTGGGCACACATAACTTGGCAAGCAGTAACTCCACCGGCTGCCAAGTTCTCCTTCTTCATTCCCCCGTCACCAGGCCCTGGGTACAACTTCTTGGGTCCAAGAGAACCCAGTTCTCAGCAGTCGCTTATGGACATATGGAGGATTGGCATTTGCGGTTGCAGGAACATAGTAGCGGTGTTTCTCGGAGAGGACATAGCCGGGGTGTGATCTCTAGTAATCTCAGCATGCAGAAGACTGATGCAGGAGGAGCTCATATTTCGGATGCAGCTGGGGGGAGGAGGGTGGATATGACAATCCATGCCTTCTGTAAGCTCCCCACCATGGCGGCGGGGTAGCTTCAATAGGCTACAGGGCAACGGCTCCGCAGGGAGCTATGAAGTGACTGCTCCCTCTTGGTAACTTACATGCTGCCTGCAGCTCTGTAGCCACAGCTGTCCTGGTACAGTCCTCTTTGGGCCACTGCTTGCAATGGTCAATGTGTCCCTCTCTCTCCCAGAGAAGGAAAAGCCGAAGCGGGCCACTGCTACTGCGTGCCCTTTAGGAGCTGGGTTGGAGGTGCTGTAGTCACATTTTTCATCTTTTAGTACCAAACCAACCTACTAAGTGTAGCCAGGATATTCTCCTGTGTGACACCCAACCCCAGTAAGTCAGGAAACAGAACACGCCAGCCTCGTCAACAGTTTTGAGGGCTGGGGAGCTTGATGGCTCAGCTGGTAAAGACGCTCACCCATTTAGTGGAGGAAGAGAACCAGCTCCTGAAAGTAGGCCTCTGACCTCCACAGGTGTGCTGCGGCTCTTGCGACATCTCTACTAGGATTTACTTTCCTGGAGGCTTCTCTGGGAGGGTGAGATGTTAGAGTGCCATGTCAAGGTAGGCTGTTTTTTGTTTTTTTTTTTTTAAATTTTTTATTATGTGTATGGGTGTTTCTCTGTATGAATACGTGCACCTGAGTGCAGTGTCTCCAGAGGCCAGTAGAGGGCACGGGTCCACCTGGCACTGAATTACAGGTACCCCGAGCCTCCTGACCTGGGTGCTGGGAACTGAAGCCAGGTCCTGGAACTTCATCGGTAGACTAGGGTGGCTTTGAACTCACAGAAATCTGTTGCCCCTGCCTCCTGAGTGGTGGGATTAACTAAAGACGTGTACTACTGTTCCTTCCCCGGTTCAAGAAATTCTTAAAGGACCGTTAAATCTTTCTTTGAAAGTTTTCTAAGGTCTATAGGTACTTTGTTCACATGAAAACTGCACCATGAGGTGCCTGACGCCTGTGGCAGCCAGAAGGCGGGGTTAGATCCCCTGGAACTGGAGCTACAGATGATTCTGAGATGAATGTGTGGGTGCTGGGAAATGAACCTGGGTCCTCTGAAAGAGCCATCAGTGCTCTTAACCACCGAACCAGTACTTCTCAGGTACAAATTTAAAAGCTTAAATTACAAAAGAAAATACGGTGTCACCACATTAAAATCTCTAAAGCCATGTAAAACCCGAAGGCATTAAAATTTATTAAATGATGCAGTAACAACAGATTCTTTATTTACAATAGCATTATTTAACATCAAATAAGCAAATAGCATCAGCAAAGCAATAGTAACTTGCATAAATGTATTTAAAATTTCTCTGAATATATCTACCTTTGCATAAACTGCTCACACTAGAAATACAAACATCAATGCAGATGAACAAAGTGATGCTCAGAGTCAACTCTGTTTTGAAAATAAATCCACAACCTGAAACACTGTAAGCTTTCTCCTGAAGAACCATAGTGAATATATTGCTTAAGTTTACCCTTGTATAATCTTTTCATATACACACACCTCAGGTGCGACTTCATGAAGAACTGTACAAAATAAAACCCACGAATGACAAAGGAAAAAAATGACAGTTAAATGTCTGAAGAAACGGGTCATCATCACTGCTCAATAACATACGGGTAAGTGATGACGTACTTATTCAAAAATTGTACACAATTCACTATACAAATATAATACATTGGACAGCTAGGTAGGAATATACAAGACTTAAAAACAGATCTAAGGCATTATGCTAGGTTTTAGCATTTTGAGGTTCTTGCACATAGCTTTTACCTGTAGTAAGAAACTTAAAAGATTTTGTTTTAGTCTATAAAGAAACACCAGGGAGAAAATTCTAATTAAAATCGAAGCCACTACAGTATTTTCTTTTGTGCAGAGAATGCTTTGCTCTTAGGCAGCGTACTACCATACAAACACTAGAAAATTTTAAGTTCACACCAACAATTAGTTAATGGCTTAAGTTGCATTTCAAAATTGATTGTGTATCTTTGGGTTCTGCAAGTGGATCTGTGCCTCCCAGTTCATGTGTCACGCCCGTAGGAACTCCGCTTTGAAACACAGATGAAAAGCTGCATCTTCAACTGCAAAAGACCATTGCTTTCAATCATTACAGGTCGTAAGAGATACACGGGGGGTTTAGTCTTTGAGTCAAACGAATCTGTTCTAGTAACACAGCTCACTTCACTTTTAAAACCACGTTACATGAACACTTAGGTGGGTTATACAACCAAGGTAAGGTGTGTATACTTTTCACATTATGTTTTTCACATTGAGTAATATAAGAAAACACTGATTATATGTTCCGCTAAACAAAAACCAAGTACAAATTTATTGTGTGTAGCATGAGAAATACTGATGAAGGGAGTCGATTTGGCATTTGCTTCTATGGTAACATGATCAGATGGCTCCTTCACTCATTTTATTCTATAATTAGATGTCAAATAAAATGCATTACTACTGCTTGGAACTGTGAGAGAATGTACGCGCTCTTTTTCATGTCGTAATCACAGGCTGCTCTAACTGCCAGGCTGGTACACTTGTCTGGCTTGGGATTGCCATTAGAGAACAGTGGTGGATTGGATGAATGTTGACAGATGTTATGGCTGGTGTTACAGTGAAATGGGATTTAAGATTCAAAACAAAACAAATCTGTCTTAAACTCCATCTTCTCTTGGGCTGTGTGAAGTTAAAAGATATCCTGCCTCCCATTATTTCTAAAAAAATGATCTGAAAATGGGTCTTGCTCGTTCCTGGGGCGGGGTCTTGGAGTTCTGGGCTTCTTCTGCTCCCTTTACAGCACAGCTGTGCAACCCAACTGTTTTGGTGAGAAAAGTGGAGCCTCGAGCAGACACATGAACTGGTGCCCACTGGGAAGTATTGTTCCTTGGCCACCTCCCTGCACTGAGATTCCTCTCAAAGTGGAAAAAGGTCTCGAAATGCAAATTTCCAGAAAGTTCTTTAGCATGGAGCAACACTTTCAGATGACTGACCATTTGTCTTTGGGCCATATCTCTTTCTATATTCCCACAATCTGTAGATATATAGGGAGATATAAATAGGGTAGTTTATGTTTTTTACCCTGCCAGGAATAAATAATTTCAAGGAAAAACTTCTCTGTTCCTAGAAAGCTTGGATAATGAGATATTATAAAATGCTTTGTTTTTAGACTTCAAAAAGATATCATTCTGAAATTTAGGTAAGAAAGTATCAGGGGTTGGGGAGAATTGAAAGGTCTCAGTTCTGGGTACTGCAGTTGTCTGAAACTGACACCAATTACTAAAGGTTATCCCCGACAGAGAGGGCAGAAAAACAACCATAAAATGGGCTGCTTAGTAACGTAGTCTTTCTAAGGTTTATTAAGAAAGAATATAAACATATAAAATCAAGACTTGGTTCCTATAGCGGCTGCATATCATATAGATTAGATACGTGATTCGTGAGCAGAATCTTAAGGTTTAGAAAACAAAAGGTCTGAAGTCTACAAATCAGGTCTAATCAAGGCATTGGCAGCCTTTACAAAACGCCTTTAGGAGACATTGCTATGAAGATATCTAATTTAATACTGAAGTACCTCATTTTTTGAGTCAATCCCACAATATGTATACCTCACAAAATTATACAATTAAAACACTTAAGTTCAGAACTTAAATTATTGCTTGTTTACATATAAATTGGATTTTTATGTACCTTACAAAACTTCGGCTTTATCAGCACTGCTAAAAAACAAAATAAAAAAACACATGGCAGAGGTTATATCTGTCGTGATGTCTGCTGTCGGTTTCATTAGTATGTTCTCTCATTTTGGAGGCCTGAGGTGACAGGGCGGTCCAGGCTTCGCAAGCGGGTGTCGGAGCCTGGCTGCCATCACACCCCCACTTTGCCCCTCTCCTTCACAGGAGATACTTAAAAAGGTAAGCTGCTGTAAGTGGCTGGCAAAACATGGACAGAAAGGAAGGGCTTACCTGGTTTCTACAGTTTATGCTGTTGCTGTTTTTATTTTAAAAGAATAAAAGTGGGAGGGACAAGAGAAGGCAGGGAGGGGCAGGGAGAAGTCAGGATTGAGAGGGGCAGTGGATGTCAATTAAAACTATGGGATCAATCTAAAAACACTGAATTTAGAAATAAGTATTTCTTTCTGATTCATGATTTGGGGGAACTAGTTTGGTTTTAACAGAGAGAAAAAGCAGAACAGATACTTGTCAATGTTAGCTGCCTCTTTCAGGAGCCTTGTCATCTGTTCAGGAACCGACACTCCTTCCGACACGGTTGTCAGCTTTGTGTAGGACAGAACTCTGCATGTGTCAGCTGTCGGCCACTGGCTGTGTCAGCACCCACGGCATTGTCCACAGTGTCTGCCCTGCTTCCATCCCAAATGCAGGCTTTAGCTTAGTACACCTGGTGTCTGACTGTTAAAATGCCTTTCTTTCCCCTAGATAAGACCATAATGTTTTGTACTAGACTGATTAGCCACAGAAAACAAAGCAAGAGACCAGTGTCTGGAACCGAACAGGAACAGAACAAGAGCATGGTTCTCCTCAGATACACACATTTAAATACATTCAATCTGAATGGGGATGAAGTCTGCCTGTCGACATTTACTTTGCAGGAGATCTAAGTTGCACTAAGGTGAATGCAGTGAACAGACTGCGGGGTGGTCTGGAGGCTGGCTGCAGGCTGTCAGGAGAGGCAGCTCTTCCGGTGGCAGCCAGGCCACCAAGCCAGCACGCTCGATGCTGGGGGCCAGGGCCCAACTGTCCTGATTGTGTCCTGGGAGAACTGGTGGTAGGTCAGGAGGCTCAAAACAGACGCAGCTCTCCAGACTGGTAAGTGTTTTGAGCAAAGTAGCGCCCAGTGGGTTGAAGAAAGAAGAAAAGAGCCTCCCGCAGGGTCAGCAGTATTTCTGGAGGGAAACAGAAGAAAGGCAGTATGAGAACAGAGGTCTTTATGTTTAGTTGGTTGTTTTTGTCGCCACTCTGGCCTATCTCAAACTCTCCGTCCCCTTGCACTAGAGTCTTTCAAATGTGCACAACACCATACTGGCAATATCAAGAGTTTTCTTTTTTTTTTTCCTTTTTCTTTTTCTTAATGAAAGCAATGCAGTGACCGCCACGAAACACAAAATGCTGGCTTACTATAGAAAGCACAAGTCACGAGGGCCCCACGTTTAATGAGTAGATGTGTTCCTGCCACGGGAAGGCAGATGGTGAATGCGACATGTACAAGCCCATCAGAGCCGTGTAAAGCTTCCTGCAGGTTGTAGTCGGGATGGACTGGAGGTCTCTGCAGAATGAAAATGACTTCTGCTCTCTCATCAAACATGTCCCTCCAGCCAGGCACTGTGGCGAAGCCCATAATCACAACTCAGGCTGGCTGCTCCTCCACTCCTCCAGGGTCCTGGCTTACTTACAGTGTGTGCTCTCACGGCCAGCTTTTTAGTAGGGAGCTGGGGATTTGAACTTAGATCCTCATGCTTGCCTAGCAGGTACTTTACTCAGCCAGCCTTCCCAGCTCCAGAATATGCCTTTTGACATTTGTTTGTTGGATGGTTGGTTTTGGAGACAGGGTCTATGTGGTCCTAACTATCCTGGAACTCATTCTGTAGACCAGGCTGGCCTTGGTCTCACAGAGATCCTACCTTTGTCTCCTAAGTGCTGGGATAAATACATGTGTCACCATGCCTGGCTTCTTTTGACTTTAAAAAAAAAAAATCATTGGGGCTGGAGAGACGGCTCAGTGGTTCACAGCACTGTCTGTTCTTCCAAAGGTCCTGAGTTCAATTCCCAGCAACCATACAGTGGCTCATAACCATCTACAGTAAGAGCTGGTGCCCTCTACTGGTGTGTATGCATACATGCAGGCAGAGTATTGTATAAATAAATAAATCTTAAAAAAAAAAAAAAGATTACTTAACACCAACATGGATAAAATAAAAATAAATTAAAAAGGGAAAAATTATTTAAAAAACTTAAATTTGTATGTGTGCACCACACACACACATACACACACACACACACACACACACACACACACACACACACACACACGTCCAAAAAAGGGTGTCCAAACCCCTGGAAGCCGAGTTCCAGGCAGGTGTGAGCCACGGATGTGGGTGCAGAGCACTGAGCTATCTCTCGAGTTCCCCTCCCCACTATTTAAGGCAGGGCCTTGGAACTCTATGTAGACCAGGCTGGCCTCTAACTCAGAGTCCACCTGTCTCTGCTTTGAGTACTGGGAATAAAGGTCTGGGCAACCCCCCACTCCCACCCCATTGTTGAGTTGCTTTCCAGGTCTAGGGAGGGTGTGCTCAGCCTGGCTTCATTAAGCTAAACACACCCTATCCTCAACTTAGACTCTAGATGACTACATGCTAAGGCTGAACTGAGCAGGTGGTACTTGAGGGCCGCTAGGTTATCTATTTGGAGAAGGAAAGACGCCAGCCTGAAATGATATATGTACCTTTAGTGTCCCCACTGAGAGTACTGGGCAATCTACGGCCAGATCATGTATGACTTCTAGTAATCAAGGGTGGGCTTCCCAGGTAGGCATGGTGCCCGCCTGTGACCCCAGCACTCAGGGAGGCAGAGGTAGGCGGATCTCTGGTGAGTTAGAGGCCAGCCTAATCTAAAAGCAAGTCCAGGACAGCCAAGGCTACACAGAGAAACTATCTCAAAAACAACAACAAAAAACAAACAAACAAACAAAAAAAAATGGGTGGGATTTCCTTAGCCCGGCCAGAAGAATCCTCATGTTGAGGTTTCTTGTGATACACTCAATGCTTGCGGCTCACTACCTCAGCTGGGTTGGCTGGGTGGCCTTGGGCAGATTCCCTCTGAGGGTGTCTCCTGGACTGAAGATGCTCAGATCCCCTCATATCCATGTAGGGCCTGGCAGAGGCCGAAGGGGACACTCTGTCATGGCTTTGGTGCTCTTCCCTCCTGAGGTGAAGCAACTGGATGCCTGAGAGGTAGTTAGGGCTTTGCTGGGTCCCTTTGACCCTGCCTTCCTTCAGGGCCTGAGTAGAAAGAGGGGGAAGGACACCGAAGAAACATGGTGCCTCTTCGGGCTTCTCCACTGAGGTTGCAGAAGCCTGTAGAAAACCCTCATGAGAACCCAGCCAGCTCTCTGGGGAGTGCACAGTAGGGTTCAGGTTAAGGACATTCAGAGTTTAGCTCGCTTGGGCTTGCATTCTGACCTCTCCAGACCTCGGGCAAGTTGTTATATTCTTAAGGCAGTAGTTTGTACTGGACAGTGTGGTCTTGACTAAGGGTTGGCTCCTCATGTGATTTTCTTTTTCTTTCTTTCCTTCTCTCCCTCCATTTTTGAGACGGAGTCTCACTATGTAACGCTGGCTGGTCTAGAAAACTCGATGTAGATCAGGCTGTCCTTGTAGCAACCTTCTTGCATGTGCCACTTATGCTTGGCTGCTTCTGCAACATTCAAAGACATAACACGGACTTCCACATTCGATTTACAGACTCTAAACTCCTCCTTCTGGAGGCAGGAGCACAGAAGACACAAGGCAGGGCAATTCCTAGACAACGTCTAGGCCTTTGTGCTTTGGAAGGCTTGGCTGACAAAGGGCCCTTTCTGGATAGCTGTTCAAATGCTGGCTGGCCCAGGCCGGCAGTCGCACACTGAGGTGAGGGAGGCTGAGCTGTACTGTGTCACATTCATGGAGGGGAATGAGAACCTGTCCTCAGAGGACGGTGCACTCTGCTGTTAGGCTCCCCTGGGCCGTCCTCTCTGAGGGCCCGATTGTCACCTGCTATCACTGTGCCTCAGGTTGCAGGCCTCTGCTTTTGCAAGTAAAGTCACCCCTGAGCTCTGTGCACTCGCTTGCTAAGAAAACTGTGGCTTCAGGGGAGGTGTCAGATGCTGGGAGGCGATAAACTCCAGATGAAACACGTGCTCAATATGGAATCTACCCCAGCGTCTGACACACATCTGTACCTAGGAAAGGTTTCTAAGATCTAGTAACTTTTGTGTACCTAACCCTACATTACCTGTCAGCATCTCTGAAACCCATGATCTGGGCTGCAAAATCCAGAAAAGCTACAGTGAGAAAACAAATACGAGACATTTATAGAACATGGGCTAGGTTTATTCTAAACCTGAATACTGTTATTAACAAAAGCACTGGCACCAGGAGTAAGGAAACTCAACAGTCATTTAATACTACATTTTCTCCACTGGATCAAGTTATTGTTTGTTTTTATATATCCCTGGGTGGGCCTAAAAGGCTGTTTAGTTAAGGATTTTATTTTAGTTATATGCGTTTGTGTGCAGGCATTCAAATGGAGGTCTGAGGACAACTTTTGGGAGTTGGTTCTCTCCTCCTCCTGGGAGTTCTGGGGATTGAGTTCAGGTATCTCTCTGGCCCTTGCTCCATTTTTTTGAGACAGGATCTCTTGTAAACTGGGCTGGCATCAAATTTGCTAACGCTCCTGAATTCTTGCTCCTCCTCCCTCTACTGGACAGGATAAACATTTTTTAAGAGCTGGGCATGGCAGTGCATTCCTTTGATCCCAGCATTTGGAAGGCTAAGACAGGCAGATCTCCTGAGGCCAATACAGTCTGCAATACCAAGCTCCTGGACAGCCAGGGCTACAGGAGAGCTCCTATCTCAACAAACAAAAAAACAAACAAACAAAGCAAAACAGAAGTTCTTATCCATGAGGTGGGGGTGAGAGGAGGTGGAGGGAGGGTACGCTTTTTCTTCCTTTTTTGTGGTGCTGAGGAGTCAACGCAGGACCTCATGCATGCTAGTCAAGTTCTCATATCCCTAGCCACAAACCCAACCTTAAACAAAACAAACAACGGAAACAACTGGCATGACAGTACATGCCTTCGATTCCACCACTTAAGCAGAGACAAGAGAATCAGGAGTTCAAGACCAACCTGGGCTACACCATACCCTATATTAAAACAAACAAAAAGGCCAGGCGTGGTGGCACAAACCTTTAATGCTAGCACTCGAAGGCAGAGGCAGGCGCATCTCTTGGAGCTGAAGGCCAACCTTGTCTACAAAGCAAGTTCCATCATAGCCAGAGCTGTTACAGAGAAACCCTACACTGAAAAATCAAATCAATCAACCAACCAACCAACCAACCAACCAACCAACCAACCAACCAACCAACCAGAAAACCGATGCCCCCACCTTGAAAAAAACAAACAACAAAGTAACTATTTACACAAAAAACAGTCTAAGACAAATGAAATTAGGAAGAGCTTTACATGTTTGTCTGATGTGCTGACTGAACAGGGCACTTTGTAGGCCCCTTCCGGCCTACAGAATGTCCCCAGCCGCCTGGGCTGTGTGCTCATGGCTCCTGCTGCTTACCCGGGACGTATCTCCCTCCTGTTTGATCATGTCCATTCCAGGCAGTGGGTTCGGGAAAAGGTTGCCTCCCCTCAGAGCAGGGTCATTTACCTAAGGGTGACAACACATGGCATATTTCCAGCTTACTTTTATGTCCCCGGGGAAAACAGACTCTGTTTCAGTGACTTCATGGGCCTAATCACTCTCCCGTGTGCACATCCGGGGGTAAGACAGAGGAGGCTGAAAACATACCGATGGTATGAGGCTATGTTACTTGCCTTCAAAAGTAAATTGTATTTGCACATTTTCATTTATAACTTTTTTTTTTCAAGCTGGTTCGAATTAGGCTGGTGACTCATTCCTCTGACTGAAGTGCCTGAGATGCTCCTGACACCTTTGCTGCTCAGGCAGTTATTAATTAGCAGGAGCGATGTGTGAAGAGCCAAACAGTGCTGGCTTTTGTGAGCAGACTGGCCAAATAAACTACTCATTAGCATCTATGGACTTCTTTAAAAACTTTTCTCATCAGGCAATGGCGGTGCATGCCTTTAATCCCAGCACTTGGGACCCAGAGGCAGCTGGATCCCTATGAGGCCGTCCTGGTCTACAGAGTGAGCCCCAGGACAGCCAGAGCTACACAGAGAAACTCTGTCTCGAAAAACCAAAACCATCCATCCAAACAAACAAATACAAAACAAAACGAACCTTTTCTTTGTATTACTTCTGGGTATGATGGGGCATGGCTTGGGAGTGGAGGCAGAGGTGGGTTCTCTGTGTTGTGGGGGTTCTGGGGACTGTTCTCAGGTTGTAAGGATTGGTGGCAGGTGCTGAGCCATCCCACTAATGCTCACAGGGAAGGGTTTTTCAGAAGACTAGTTAGAGTTGTGCTTTTCTGGCTTCTCCGTTAACTCTGCTACTCTAAGTACTTAACCCCATGCGCACATGGTCTGGCTGCTGCGAGCATCAAGCTGTTCCTTGGTAGGCTCGCCTGTGACCATGGTGCCGTGCCGATGTGTGCCTCACTCTGAACACACGCCTGACAGGGCAAAAAAGAAACCTCTACTGTCCATTCGTGTGGGCTCCTCAACAGCAGCCTCCCAGGCTCTTTCTCTTTCCTTCCTTTCTGTGATACGGTCTCATGTGGTCTGGGCTGGCCCTGAAGTAAAGTGCTGGGATTATAGGCATGGGCATACAGAACAAAAAATTCAAAACAAACTGTAGAGCACCTGTGCTGCAGCTGCGGAGAGGGACAACGGTGTGTCAGTCTTCTCGTGTAAATACAGTGGCACTAGGAGCTACTAGGTGACAGGCAGTGTGGCTCCTGCCACCGTGCCCGGCAAAAAAGTGGTTCCTAGCCTCCATGGCACTTACACTCCATTTCTGAATTCCTCAAGCCATAAAAAATGATGTTAATGATGTGAAAGTTAAGAAATAAAAACAAACCAAAGCAAACCCTCAATCCTTAGCAGCCAGGAATCCTCTTCAAAAGTTACTTGATCATTAACAAGTACTTCTGCTAAATCTCACTGGCACAGGTGAAAATAAGGTGAAAAAACACTTTCAAAATAGATATGGGACTTGAGGTATAAACAGACAAAAAGCAAAGACTAGAAACCTCCGAGCTGCTTCCCTGAGGTGCTCACCTGCTCGGGACCCATGGAGGACAGCCCCGATGTAGGCACGGAGGTCACTGAGGTCATGCTCATCTGTCCTGTCATCTGGTTCATGGTGCTCAAGCCAGCTGTGTTGGTTGCCATGGACACACTAATGTTCATGTTGTTATTGTACATGCTGGTGTTTGCTTGCTGCCCGAAGTGTGGAGGAGACTGCTGTGAAAACATGCTGGAACGCAGGGAAAAGGTGTTAGACCCTGATGATGGACGGAGGAGAAGGGTCTTGAATGCTCACTTGAGAATGAATAGCTAGATGTCGTGAGGCCAGGGCAGGCTGTGGTGCTGGGGCAGAAGCATCAAGCCTGCTTTCTCCCTTGCACACGCTACTGAGAGGGCACACATCCTTTACGTCCCCAGCTGCTGGGGCTTGCTGTTTGCTTTTTATCATAGGCCCTGATAAGGCCTAATTCTGTGTCACTGAAGAACAGGAGGCTCTACCGTTAGGAGTGGAACCCGCTTAGAGGGACTGCTTTCGCTCCAAACCAAGAGCACTATTCTAGGCTTCTGTGGACTTGTGCTAAAGAGTAAAATGGCTTCATTTAGCAGTTCACTTATGATTGCTCTAGCAAAGACTAACCTAAGAGTCATCTCTTCTACCCCTGGAGCAAACACATTTAAAAAAATATGGATGAAAGGGCTGACTATTCTGTAGAGTTTAGGGGGATCGTTTTGATTAGACTCAGCGACGTGATGTTACCTGTTCCCACCCATGCTCCCCTGTGCCCATCCGTTCATGTCTGACGGGGGCTGGTAGGCTGGGTTGGCTTGAGACTGCTGCATCATGGGACTCTGGGTATGCGCCATCCGGGGAGACATCAGAGGACTCTGGGGAGTCGTAGCTCCAGTAAAGCCAGGGTCAGGTTGCTGACTTATTCCTTAAAAACAACACAGAAGTCCAAAGGAGACAGTCAGCGGAATCACAGGGAGAATATTCTAAATTAAGTATACACAGAAAAATTTCTTTCAAATACCTGATTATGTGCAATTAATTACAGTCAAAAGATTCAAACCGAGACAGAAGTGCATGGAGAAAAGTCTCCATACTTGAAATCTCTACAAGGGTCACAGGAGGCCTAGCACAGACTGAACATCAGGACAAGAGTCAGAGAAAGGACACTGCTTCCTTAACCCCTGTCTAAACTGACAGTACTCAGCTATGTATACTTCCAGTTTATCTGAAATAGTCAGAATTTTTAAAAAAGTATCACTGTAATTGTGTTGTTTAAATTTAGGTTAAGCTCATTAAATTCAACTATATACTGAAAGTCAACATATGAATAACTTTACATGAAATTAACTTATATCATCCCAGTATGAGATGATGTATTTTAGAAAATACATATGTGCATGCACAGTGGCTTGTTTTGTTTCTGAAAAGGGCTTGTGGTACTCGAGTGCAGTCAGGATTAGCATTCGGGGACAGTCAATGTGTCCTTTCTTGTTTAGTTTCAGGGTAAAGAACTCACAGTAAAAGGGAAGAATTCTCAGCAGATTTTCCTCCTGTGTCAAACTGGAAACCCAGCAGAGGCAGGGGTAGAGGAAGAGGGTGTGAAGGGTGTTTCAGGGATGGAGTAATAACATGTTTGCTTAAAACTTGTGTAGCACTTAATATTTAAAGTAGCCACAACAGAAATGTTTAAAGAGGGAAAAAGCAACGCACCATGTTTGCTCTTTAAAGAGGAAGGACATCTGTGCCACAAGGCAACATGGTCACTCCAGGGCACTCAGAGCCACGTGAAACATTTAATGTCCAAGGAAGCACTTATGTTTACCAATAATCCCACTACTAATTAAAATATTAATACTTCATCTCTTAGACTGACATTATAGAACAAATCAATACTAACTAAAGTAAGAGGTCTCTCATTGTGGCTCTGTGTAACACTCTAAGAATTACCTATTCCATAAAGATTTGGTATAATCTTTAAAGTTTTTATTTTCTTTTTTCATAAGTATCGTCAGCAACAAACTTTTATTTTTCAAAAGCTATAGGGTATCTGTAATATTTAAATTGATTTATGTCTTCCAACATTTCATATCTAGCTATTGATTTCTTTGTGTCAGACTCACACACTCAAATGTAAGGAGTGTATGTTTGTGTATGTATTATGTTCACAGACACAGACCTGAGCAGATACCCTCATGCATGCTCATATGTCCAGAGACACAAACACACTTAACTTTGGTCATTCTTTTTTCTTTTTTTTTATTAATTTTATTTTATGTGCACCGGTTTAAGGGTGTCAGACCACCTTGAGCTGGAGTTACAGACAGTTATGCACTGCCATGTGGGTGCTGGGAGTTGAACCTAGGTCCTTTGGAAGAAGAGACAGAGCTCTTAACCACTGAGCCATCTCTCCAGCCCCCAACTTTGGTCATTCTTAAAGTAAGGTCTGCAACCGGAGATGGGGCAGGGGAGGTCCTGCGCCTGACCTGGAGACCCCTGCCAGGCCCCAACTGTCCTCCCAAGTTCCCTATCTCTGGTTCACCATGCCTACGGCAGCTGAGAAGAGAGCTGTGACCCAGGACAGAGGGGAGCGGGGGAAAGGATGGATGAAGGGCGGCCATCTAAGTTCAGTACCGTAGTTTGGAGGAAATGGAAACTGCTGGGCATTGGCCTGGGGAATCCGGGGATTGCTCATGGCTGCTGGTATACCACTAGGAGCCACCATGCTTGGGGTCATATTCAACCCTTGTCCTCTCATCATCAAAGTTCGCTGCTGCACCTGCTGCTGCTGATGTATTTGTCTCTGGCGGAGATGCTGGTTGAGGATTTCCCGCTGCCTCTGGGCCAGCATCTGGGCATTAATAGGAGCCTGAAATGGGGAGACAATCATGAAGGAAAACCAAATGACAGACAGGTTAGACAAGGTCCCAAAAGCATGCTGCATGGACAGTCATCTGGAAAATAAGATTACATGAAAGGTGGAACAACTGCAGTGAGCACGAGTTTCTTAGTTTAGCCTGTGTGGTGAGCCTGTCATCCTGCTGATACTGACTGACTCATTTTTTGAGGACATAGTCAACCAAAGGACTTCAAAAGAGCACAGGCCTTTCTACATGAAGACTCTTTTTGGTTTTTGGGTTTGTTTGTTTGTTTGTTTTTGTTTTGTTTTTTGAGTCAGGGTTTCCTGTGTAGCCCTGGCTGTCTTGGAAGTAGCTTTGTAGACCAGGCTGTTCTTGAACTCAGAGATCCACCTGCCTCTGCCCCCTGAGTGCTGGGATAAAAAGTGTTCACTACCACCATGCAGCTATAGGAAGATCTTTGTTAATTTTTTTAACCATTTGAATACAAAATATTATTTATTTATTATTTTTTCTTTGTTAATTTTTAAAACTTATTTTATGTGTTATACATTATGTGCATGCAGTGCTCATAGAGGCCAGAAGAGGGCATCCAATCACCAGGAATTGGAGTTACAGGTGCCCATAAACTGCTATGAAGCTGGCTGGAATTGAACCCTGATCCTCTAGAAGAGGAACCATCTCTCCAGCTTTCTAAGTAGCTCAATTGACCATCAACTCTATTCTATTGCCTCAGCCTCCTGAGTGCTGGGATTACAGCCTGTGCCTGGCTCAAGACTCTGCATAACTTGAGGATACAGTTTATGGAGTCTCTTTTAGGAAACACTCAAGTCTAACAAGAAAGCATCACTGCCAAAGGTGACTTGGTGCACATCACAAAGATGGAGGTGGGGTGATCCGACAGTGACTTTTGTCACTTCACTGATGTCCAGAGCTGAACAAGTTGGCTGCCCAGGTGCCCCCTGCCGCCTTTGCCATTTAAGCCAAAGAGGATGACCCTTCCCAGGAGAGAAATGTTGTTGAGTAGTCCTGGCCTATGGGTGCAGCAGCCCGGATGCACCTGATTGAGGAATGTCTCCGGTGAGAAGCCAGAGAAGTAAGATGGATGAAGAGGGGGGCCCTGGCCTTGAGGTAACTAAGCAGTGTGAGGTTGTGTACTGGCACTGGAAGGGCACAGCCTCGTCATTTGTGAGGCCACCTGCGCTCAAGTATTTGTCATGCTGACATCACATGCACAGCATTGCCATGGCCACTTAGGACCGTGAGGCAGCGGTGAAGGACTTCAGATGCTTATTAGCATGCATATCTCCTGCCTTCTCGCTTCTGCTCATAACAGTACTGAGGCTTCTTATGTGGCCCAACAGAACCTGACAGGCTCTGTGCCGGTGCCGTACTGTCCAGTGTTCCGAAGCGGAAGACACGGGTGTGCTTATGGAGAAGGCCCAAGTGTCAGGCGAGGCCTGTTTGGGTTTGTCGGCCGAGCTTAAGTTAATGAGTAAATCAAGCACACGTAAAATGTCTTCCAACAGAAGCTCCCGTAGAAATAGGCTACAAATGGATGTGCTGAGAACAAGGATGTGGTCGGAGGCTTGTAGGCCGAGCCGATGTTCTTAGGAGCACTGGCCGGCACTTACACCCAGGGTTGGTCGACACTTTCTGCAACACAACTCTTGTGGATAACAACATCAGGTGACCCTGGCAATGAAGACCTAAGAACTAAAATGGAGTCAGAGGAACTAGGAACAGACCGGCTGGGTTGTGCAAAACCAGGGTACAGATGTGGGTCTCGGCTCACTCAGCCTGGCCAGGAGGAAGGACGACAGGAGACACTGGCTGGACACGGTGGATGCAGGCAGCTGGTGGGCTCCTCACCTGTGTTGGTACTCCAGGCCTCAGAGTCAAGTTCACATTTGAAACGTTGCTGATTTGATTCATAATAGGCTGGCGATTCTAAATACAAACATGTACAAATCAATACTTTTTTAGGAGAGGGAGGGGTAAGTTGAGACAGGGTCTTACGTATAGGCTGACCTAGAAACTCTCTAAAGCTTTTGAGATAGAATCTCTCTATGCAGCCCTGGCTGTCCTGAACTAATTCTGTAGACTAGGTTGGCCTCGAACTGAGATCTGCCTGTCTCTGCCTCTTGAGTACTGGGATTAAAGGTGTGCCTCACCACGTACAGCTCCAACTCTTGAATTCTCCATCTTCCTGCCTTGGCTCTCAAGTGCTAAAATTAGAGGATATGTAGCCATTCCCAACTCAGTACATTTACAAAAGAGGAAACACTTCCTTCAAATCACCTTTTCCAATTAACAGCTCTCGTTAACTCAACTCTAACGCTCCACTGCTACTCCAACCACCACTACTCTTCCTGAGCCCCAGCCATTGGCCACCCCAGCTCGGAAGGTCCCATGAAGAACTAACCTGCTGTGCTTGGAGGCGATGCTGAAGCTGAAGTCTCAGTTGGTTTGGCTGGTTCTGCACGAGGCCGGTGGGCCTGAGGCCTGGTCGGGGCTGCATTCGGAGTGTGGTGTAGTTAGGCCGCTGGCCCATGCTGTGAAAGTTTGGATCTTGCATGGGATTATAGCTACCCTGGGCCATTTGTGCCTGAGATGCGTACTGCTGTGGGAAAACAGGGGCCTTCTGCTCTAGCATCATGTTGGACTCTTGGCTGGAGAACTGCTCTGGATCTACAGCTTGACTCTGAAAAGAAGCCCAGATGAGCACATAAATAAAGCTGCTAACAACACTGTTCTAAATGTAAGGCTGCTTTCTCTCCCTCCTATATGTGGTGTTTAAAAAATACTGTATCCATTACACCAAGGTATTTTTCAGCTTGCCTCTACTTTTCCTTCTACACAAGGCCTCTCTGCAATTACCCGAGGGAGGAAGCAAGGGTCAAGGCCACCTCCCTGCAGTACTTCCTCCAGGGGGTGGGAGGAAGGAGCTGTGACTAGGCAATGCTCCTACTCTCCCCAGTGACAACCTGGCAGCGCCGCAGTGGGCAGGCTCCTCCGAGTGCTTCCGCCTTTGACTGAGCACACAGACCTGTGTCAATCATTTCATTCAATGATAGCCTTAGTCAGCATTAGCAGTGTTGGGCAGCCGGCCACCACCGTCCTCACTCTCCAGGTAACAGAACAGACTTAGAAACACAAAGGAAACTGTAGGAAGTCTTTCTGGCTAAGAGAAGGTAGGCTGTGGTCCACACTATGGTGTGGGACCTGAGCGTCTCAGTGAGGTGATATATTGCCTATTGTGTTTTGGGGTGGGGACAATTTGATAGAGTCTTGCATAGCTCAAGTTGGCCTCTTAACTTACTATGCGGCCCAGGGTGGGTTTCAAGCATGAGCTTCAGCCTCCACCTCCTGAGTACTGAGATTACAGGTCAGTGTCACCGTGCCTGGCTCACATTGTTCTGTTTACTCAGCTGTTCTCTATGGCTGGCAGAATTTCTAACATGCCCACATGCCCACACTTTGCTACCATTCACTTACTACATGCTAGACATAGTCAAGTCAATGTGCTTGTCATTTGTTTTTATTTATCTTTTTTATTATTATCATTTATTACAATTTATTCAATTTGTAACCCAGCTGTAGCCCCTTCCCTTGTCTCCTCCCAATCCTCCCTCTTCTCCCCCTATGCCCGGCCCCTAGTCCACTGATAGGGAAGGTCCTCCTCCCCTTCTATTTGACCCTGGCCTATCAGGTCTCATCAGGACTGGCTGCATTGTCTTCCTCTGTGCCCTGGTAAGGCTGAGCCCCTCAAGTGGAGGTGATCAGAGAACCTGTCACTGAGTTCACTGTCATTTGTTTTTTAAACTGCTGCTTCTCCCACCAAAGACCTACAGAGGGAAAGGAAGGGAAGGAGTAAAGATGTTTAGCATATCTTCCCTTGACTGTATCTGACAGAATGTCTGCAAGACTGCTTAGTATGTATTTGGCTAATTTAATTGTCTGAGAGCTGTAACTGTCCTTCTCCCCTGATAAAACAAGCACTTATGTAGCCCTGGCTGTCCTGGAACTCGCCATGTAGACCAGGTTGGCCTCAAATTCACAGAGATTTGCCTCTCTCAGTGAGTACTGGGATTAAAGGCATGAGCCAGCATGCCTGGCTGAGGGGTGTCCTACAGAGAGAGCTGCATAAACTCCAGCTGCAACCCTGTATTAGCCGTGCACTTTTTAAGAATGCGCGTGCACTCGTGAGTGTGTGTGCAAGGTAGAGGACTTCTAAGGATGCAGTTCTCTTTCACTGTGTTTCTGAGGTAAGGTGTGTCGTCCGTCATTTCCGCCACTGAGCTACACTGGAAGCTTGCGGCGGATTCGCCTGTTTCTACACGTAGGAAATCTAGAGCGTTCTCAGGGAGAGTGTTTTAAACCTATGCAGCCCCAGGTGTAAACGCAAAGCTCTAATATACCCGGCCACTCCTTGTCCACTCAGAAGCCCCTGCTACGAATCTGATGGTCTTTAGAAGGGCAAGACCTCAGCAGCCATAAAGTCTCAAGCCACCTTCAGTTGACTGCCAGGGCAGCCTGAGTCCTGGCTGCACAGCATCTTAGGGCAGATAGCACTGTCCATGGCCTGCGGTTAGCAGGACAGCTTCAGCACACTGCCACTCTCCTGTGCATGGAGTATGAGCAGGGGATCGTTCATTGTTGACATAGCTCAGGACTTTCTATTTGCCCATTTTTAATAGAAAAAAAAATCTAACTTTCCATATTGATCTCTTTAGTTTTGTCTGTCTGTTTGTCTGAGACAGGACTTTCTTTAGTGTAGACCTCACTGATTACTCCAGACTGGCTGGTAAGCCAGCGTGGTATCTTCCTGTTTCCACCGCACACTGACCCACTGCTGGGGTGGGGTGTGTGCTGAGCCTGGTGTCTTCTCTTGGGTTCTGGGGAGGTTTACTGACTGTGCTGTCACCCAGCCAGCAGGTTCCATTTTCAACCCTGTATGCAACTCTGGCTTATTATTAAGTACACATCCGTGTCACAATTCCCCCACTCTGCCTAAGAATGCCGTCTACAGTTCAGCTTAAATGACATGGCAACCCACCTAAGGAGATGTTAGAGAACACACAAATTAAAAAGGGAAGCAAAAACGCTGTGATGACATGACACTGGTTTTAATTTTTTAAAACAGTATTCTAATATTTTAGAGGACAAGACAGGTGAGCTGCCACGAGTCTAAGGTGAGGCTGGGCTAGGGATGAGATAATCTCTTAAAAACAAAAACCCTTTCAGCCCCTCTAGCCCCACAAGTGTTACCAGTCACTCAGCAACTCCAAGAACATTTAAAAAAATGTCACTTGGACAAACTCAAGAATAATCATAGAGAGCCGAATTCTAGCTGACGGCAAAGGCAAAGCCAACCATTTCCACAGGAAACAGTTAACCCTTTTCCTTTCTGGCTTTACTTCGGGGTATACCATGTAACCTCCAGTCATTTCTTTCCATGATGCTGTTTTCAAAATGACTCGACAAGTCTGAACTCCCACTTGTGTCTGCTAAACCATGGGAATTATGACAAGTCTATTTTTAAGGTCTCAGAAAAAGTCTCCAATTACTCCATGTCACCTTCCTCAGGTGTAGTGACATGCTGGAGGGCCAAGGAGGCTGGCCTTGGGAGGTACTTCTGACAAAAGGATGAGTGATGCTGAATGGAAAGGAAGGCAATAAGGGCAGGAGGGCTTCTCTTGGTCCCTCTACCTACAGCCAACCAGGAAGCTGTATCACAGGAAGGCAGCTGCAGGGGCAGCTTCAGACACTGCCTCAGCAGGGACACAAGGTTAGCTACCACAGCAGCACAGGTGTCTCAAATCAGTGCAAAGAGTTAGGAAAGTTTATTACTTCTACAAAGAAACTGACCCGGAAGAAGAGAGCTAAGGAAACTCACTTCGGTGGTTGACATCTGTATATTCCTATTTGTTTAAATATTCTTAAAATTGTTATGGGTGACACCCACATAAGGGCCAGAGTGTTAAGTGACATCTATTGAGTCTGACTTCTGCCAACTATGTGAAGAACAGTGCTTTCTAAATAGTGGCTGCCTGCCTCAGTGCACAGGCCTGAGCAGAATGGAGGACTGTGCTCATACTGTCTCCCTTCCCAGAGGCTGCTAGGGAGCAGGAACCTGTGGTTTCTCTAACCTCTTTTCCTCATCTGCTCCACCAGCAAGGATGGACAAGAGGCTCTGGGCTTTAGCTTCTGCCTTCCTGCTGTAACTCAAGTCTTATGTAATGGGCATTCCCAGGTATTTGCTTCTTGGGTCAGTTTTCGCGAGAGCAGTGGAGGAGGAGGAAGAGGAGAGGGAGGAGGAGAGGCTAAGGGCAGGCCAGCCTGTTGGGAGACAACAGCACCCCATAGAGCAGCTTTTAAGAAGGGAGGGACACCTTCCACCTATGGAGCCTGTGGCCCCTGCAGTGCTCTGGCCTACCTGGCTGACCAGTTCTGGTATCCCCAGAGCTCTATCAATCTCCTCGAGGCCATCGAAGTTCCGCAAGGCCAAATACAGCTGGTCTAGAAGAGCGCCCTCATCACTAGGCGACTCTGCCGCAGGATGTGGACACAGCAGGTCATCGGGGGAGCTGCCAAATGGCTGCCTGCAAAGAGACAAACTTCACCACGGGCTCATGGAAATGCCAGTTGACTTCCAGGGTCTCCGCAACAAACTTCCTTCAGCTGAGCAATGAACTAAATGAAGACTTTTGAAAATACGCACCTGAAAACGCCACTTTATTTAGTGCCAGTAAAGACCAGATACTAATCAAAGCAGTTTTCTCTCTATATCCTCGCACTTTATAAGCTAGCTAAGAAGGGGGTTAGCTCAGCCAGGTGCCCACAGCTGTGCAGAGTCCAAAAGGCTCTGCCATAACCGCTACTTAGATATGCCTGTGTTTAGGGCTCACCTGCCTAACTTAACAAGCCTGCACTGTTCTCCAAGTGCATCTACTTTGCATTGACAGGAAGAAATAGTCTGGAGTTTTTGGCGGGAAGCAGTGGCCTGTGTCACAGCCATGTCTATAGGAGGCTACCACGACCACACAGGAGAGAAGAGCAAATCACAGCACAAAAGTTACACTCACTCGAACTCAGTCTGGCTCGAGTGAACTCAGCTGAGCTACTAGGAAATGTCGTATTTGTGCAGAGGCAGAATTTGCAAGCATTTATTAAAACTCTCAAAAAGTGTAGCTGTTAGCCCTTTTGAGTTGGGTGCCAAGGGAAGGGAATCACAAACCTTCTAACCATAATCGCTACAAGGTAATACAAGATTGACACGGAACAGCCATTTCTATGGTATATAAAATTATAATTAAATTACTGAACAAATTAGAAGAGCTGCAAGTCACGTGAACCTGACCGAGGAAATGATACCCATATTTCACCAAAGTGTCTTCTGTGCTGTAGACCTACTATCTAGTACTGCTGAGAAAACAGAAGTTTACAGATGAGCTAACTTACTTTTATTGTGTGTGGTACTGAAAACTGAACCCAGGGCATCGTGTGTGCCAAGCAAGCTGTGTCCCAATCCAAGAAAACTCATTCTTAAACAAGTGGGAATACATTTATCAAGGGACGAAGTTGTCTGGCCCAACTCAGTATGTTGTATTTTCTTAGGCAGTCTAACACATTACTTTGACTTAGAGCTGTACTATGATTTCCTGCTGGGCACTGAAGCCAACAATTAATTTCAAACGGTGACAGCAGAATGCATCAATGTGCAGTCTATATTCCCCATCTGGTTCCACTTTTAAGAGAAAACTGCCCAGTGGAGTGTCCCTTTGATGCCTCTTCTCACTTGCTGTCCCTACTACATGACACAGTCCCACTGCTTCTGAGCCGTGGTCAGCTGGCTGGGAGGCCAGTCAGGAGTACCACAGGCTGGAGGTACTGTGCTCATCCCTGCCCTGGCCTTCTCCTGCCGCTATGAGGCTTGTGGAAGAACAGCTTGCCTGCACTGGACATGTTCAGAATGTGCCACCACTTCTTTCCCACAGTCCGCACTCCTCCAACTAATCTTTAAAACACAGATTCGATCAGATGTCTATTATCATTTAGGAGCCGAAGAAAGAAACAGTTACAGAGAAATGGCACAGGGAGGAAGAAAACCACGCAAGTGCACATCATGCGTGGGGTGTGAGGAGAAAACCCCAACATGAGGGCCCAACAACTGGGCAGAGTGGGGCCCATAGAAACTTCTCGTGGCCAAGAGCCAAGGCTGGTCTTGATGGTGTTCCCTTACGCCTGGGAAGCTACTTAGTAAGACACTGAAGTGTCACCTCTGTGCTGGACAGTTTTGTGTCAACTAGACATGGACTACAGTTGTCAGAGAGGAGGGGGCCCCAGCTGAGAAAATGTCTCCCTAAGAGCCAGCTGTGGGCAAGCCTGGAGAGCATTTTCCTGATTAGTGACTGATGTGGGAGGGCCCAACTCATTGTGGGGGTGCGATCCCTAGGCTGCTGCTCCTGGGTTCTGTAAGAAAGCAGACTGAGCAGGCCGTGAGGAGCAAGTTACTAAGTGGCACCCCTCCATGGCCTCTGCATCAGCTCCTGCCTCCAGGGTCCTGTGCTGCCTGAGCTCCTGTCTTGAGTCCCTTCAGTGATGGACTGTGATATGCAAGTGTAAGCTGAGTAAATCATGTACTCCCCAAGTTGCATTCGGTCACGGTGTTTGTGGCAGCAGTGATAACCCAAACTAGGGCAGCTTGTACCCAGCCGTGTTAACAGTTGTCAGCTTCTGTGAGAAGCTGCACTGCAAAGCAGTGTCCCTCCACTGACGGGAGACAGGCAGTGTAAAGTCTAACCATGAGAGACTATTTGGAATTTGTATCCCATTGAAGCTAGGTAGCTAAGGGAGGCCTAGCTCAGCCTCATCCTGTAAGGATGACCGCTTGATCCTGCAGCAACCAAATACTTACAGCAGAGGACAGATGTGCATGCTTATCCAAGTCAAACACACCCTGCTCCAAATAAAATACTTTTTTGTTGTGTTGTTTTTCTGAGAAAGGGTCTCACTGTAGCCCTGGTGGGCTCGAAACTCACTACATAGGAAAGGCTGGCTTTGAAACCGCAGAGATTCACCTGCCTCTCCTTCCCAAGTCCTGATTGTTTTTTTAAACTAAACTAGCTGGGGCTGGAGAGATGGCTCAGCAGTTAAGAGCAATGTCCGCTCTTCCAGAGGACCTGGGTTTAATTCCCAGCACCCACACAGCAGCCCAAAACTATAACTCTAGTTCCAGGGGATCTGGCAGCCTTACACAGACATATAGTCAGGTAAAAAACACCAATGCACATGAAATAAACATAAATAATAAAAAAATAAATAAAAACTCCAAACATGCATGTGCTAAAAAGCAAAGCAGGCTCAGTGGGCGGGAGCTTGCAAAGCACACAAGGCCCTGGGATTGATCTTTAGCCCTGGGGGAAACACAGAACCCCAAAGTAAGGCAGCACACGCAGCCCCCTTCCACTGTGGTCCAGGCTTGGGACCTATCCCACTGCAGTCTCTACGACTCTAATACAAGGTCCTCAGCTGCTTCTTCCCAATCACATTTTACTGACACACTGTACTCAGCTCTAGATGGAAAATGTCAAAGTACTTGGGGCAGGGTGATGGCGGTGAAATGCAGAGACAAGCCTGTGGTCGTATCAGACCTTTCCATAAGTCACACAACAACTTCCCATGAGTCTTAGCCACCCTGGGTAACATCCTTCTGTTGAACACAAACACACATACTTCCTACTTGCCTCTTTCACACCTCAGGCACTCCTGACTGCCCTACTATCTTCTTATACTAGACCACTGGCTGAGAGGACACGGCACGAATGTTCAAAATTAGGCTGTGTTGAGGTAGGAATTGCATGTCCTACCTCTGTGCTGACCTGGTGCTAGAAAGTAAACCACATACTTTTAGATATTTTCTACTTGATGAAAACAAAAGATTCCTGGTTCAGCTGGATTAGCATGTTACCAAGCATGTATTATTAAGACAGATACACTTTGCCCTGGCTCAGTGCACAACACATGCTTCTCTAGTCCTCTTAGAAACAAGGCAGTGCTTGGGAGATGGTGGCACAAGCCTTTAATCCCAGCAGCTAGGAAGCAGAGGCAGGCAGACATCTGTGAGTTTGAGGCCAACCTGGTCCACAGAGCTAGCTCTAGGGCAGTCAGTGTTACAGAGAAACCCTTGAAAACCTAGCCATTTACAATGTGAAAGCAAGTCCTCTGCTTCCTGAAACCAGCTCCTGCTACACAGCACAGCCAGGGTCTGTGTACTCACTACTTGCAAGAATCCTCATCCGCATACTGCGGTCAAGCAAGCACAGGACTGTCGGTATGTGGAGATGGCGCAGTGGTTAAGCACACTTTCAGCGAGCCAGGGCTCAGTTTCCAGCACCTGCATGATAGCTCACAACTGTACCTCCAATTTTAGGGTATGTGGTACCCCTCAGACCTCCATGAGCAGCACGCACACATACGGAACACACACACACACACACACACACACACACACTGAATGAAGGACAACAAATGAATGGGGGAGAGGGAACAGCCAGAATTTGGAAGTGTATCTTTAAATAATAAACAGGGTTGCAAAATGTACTACATATTAGTGGCTTTAATGCCTCTATCTTTGAAATGAATGCATAAATCAATTCTGGATTCATAAAACACTAAAGAGGCTGTGGAGATGGTTCAGCGGGTAAAAGCTCTTGCCACCAAACCTGAGATCGATCCTAGGACCCACCAGGTAGGAGGAAAGAACTTCACATGCATGCAGGTTCACTCCTAGTATATACATGTAGTAATTAAAAACATATTCCTAAATATTAACTGATGACCCGTGCTTGTAGTTCTAGTACTTGGGAGGTTAGCTAGGAGACTGTCACCTAATTTAGGGTCATTCTGGGATACACGGTGAGCTTGAGGTCAATCTGTGAGACATAGCAACATACTATGCTTCAATAAATACAAATCTAAACTTTGTTTTGTTTTTCGAGAGAGGGTTTCTCTATAACTTTGCCTGTTCTGGACTGGCTTTGTAGACCAGGCTGACCTCAAACACACAGTGATCCAAGTGCCTCTCTCTGCCTTACCAAGTGCTGGGATTACAGGGGTGTGCCACTAACTGAAATACTTACAATGGAGACTTAAAATTAAAGGGCACTTATTTTTTCTTTATTAACGAAAAGGTTAAATCTCTAGTCTGTTACTTTTGAATTTTTATGAAAGTATATTTTTACTACCTTATAAAGTTGGTCATTAATTTCTTCTAAACTAGACTATTTAAAATAAGTGAGATAAATGGTTTATAAATCTGAAATAACTTCAGAAGTGGTGAGACATTTTGACAACTGTCACAGAAGAAACAGCAGACTGGGCAGTGCTGGGTTCGGGACATTGGACTAAGTATGATTCTAGAATTATTTCTGTCTTTGCCTATAAAACTCACAGTTGTCTGTTTAGCAGTAAAAATCTGAACTTTAGGCCTTGTTTCCTTGAAAGCTGATCTTTGGTTTCATGTAAAAACTGTGAGATACTACTGTTTAATTATTACTAATTTGTATTCTGTAAACATTTCTATCAAATAAATCCCATTCATTTTCTGTCACAATGGAATAGGGTCAAAGATCTGAAGGACTTTGAGGAATCACCACCTATAGAGTCACCGTGGCTTTGTGATACTGTCTGCAGCCCACAGCAGCCAGGGTAGTGAGGATTCTCAGGAATAATAGACAATCAGGGACAGATAGGGTGGGGCAGGAGACCTCAAAGATGTTCAAGAAAATAGTATCCACTGTCTCCAACAGTCTCTGGGGAAACATCCTCAGTTCAGAATCCAGGTATCCCACTGACCACGATTAACTATGAGCCCTAAGGAAAGGGCATCTAAACGCTGGAAGGGACCAGAGGGAGGAAGGAGTAAAGAGGAATAGGTAGACATAATCAATGGATGATATATCCACACACGGATGGCTCAGTCAATCCCATTTGTGCAGTTCTGCTAATTATAGTAAACTAAAAAATAGCAAATATGCAAAGTTTAAAACAAAACATTCACAGAAATAGGCCATCAGGGGTGAGATTTAATATTTGGATTTAGAATACCAAGAGGCACTAGATTAAGAGATTTAGAAAATAACTATGAAGGCACAAAGATGGAATAAAAAAAAAAAAAAAAAAAAAAAGACCAAGTAAGCCACAAGAGTTTCTAAAAAAATGACTAGCCAAGCAACTGTTAAAAAGAAAGATATAATTATATTTAATGTAGTTATCTATAATTAATATACAGGATACAGTTAGGGATAAATTATACTGAATATTATGTATAGAAATTAAAGTAGGAAAACTATATTAACTAAGAAATATTAGCTGATTGTGGTGGGGCACACTTTTAATCCCAGCACTCCAGAGGCAGAGGCAGGCAGATCTCTTAGTTCCAGGTCAACATGGTTTACCTAGAGAATTCCAGGCCAGCCAAAAACAAACAAAAAACAAATAAAAGAAAAACAAAATTTACAGTCCTTCTGCCTGGGCCTTCTGAGTTCAGGAGTTACAGGTGTGTGCTGTACACTAGGCCTTAATAAGCCATTTTGCACAGTTCTACAAGTCTTTGAGCGCTTTATGTTTACACACTTCCCTTTGTTTTCACAATTCTTTGGAGGGTTCTGACAGAGATTCTGTCAAACCTCTTATTTCATCCACATATGTTGTTTTCCTTTTTACAACACTTTTGTTTTGTTTTCCTCTGCCTCCTGGAGCTGGGATTACAAATGCATGCCACTCCAGCTGGCTTTCAGAGGGGTTCTGGACTCTGAACTCAGGTCTTCGTCTTTATGCAACAAGCACATTATCAACTGTGTTATCTTTCTAGCTCCTGCTTCAATTACATTTCTCCCTTCAAACCCTTCCATACACCCCTCCTTGCTCACGCCATGTTTACAGTTTCCTTTTTCAGTAGCTGTGACATGCACTTACATGTATGTGCGTACATATACATTCCTAAAAATGACCCACTCCGTCTGTACAAGGCTACATTTGCGGGTGTGTGTTTTTCAGGGCTCACCATTTGGTACTGGATAACTAACTGGTGTGCTCTTCCCTGGGGAAGTCTTTCTCCTGTTCTCAGCATCCTTTAGAGGCCTGTAGTTCTTAGTGTAGGGTGGAGGTCTCGGGGTCTTTCTCCCACTCCTGTCCACGGTTGCCCTCATGTTTAGGCAGTTGTCTTGGGTGTAGCCTCCTGATACTACCAGGAGACATAGCCTCTCCCTGATATCTGGAGAGATCAAACTTTCCATTTCCTCTTTCACAGTGTTCCTTGAGTCTTAGGTGTGGGTGTGTCTTGCAGATGTATCCATTGAGACTGGGAGGGTTCCACAGCTCTGCATTTTGATTGGTTGTGGTTTTCTGTAATGGTTTCTGTCTGCTGCAAAGTTTCCTTGATGAGGGGGTGAAGACTACACTTACCTAGCGAGGCCCTGGAGAGGAGGTGGTTGCCCTGTTTTTTGTTTTTCTTTTTTTTGTTGTTGATTGTGGTAAAATATAAATACAAAATGATCATTTTCTTTTATCCTAAACATACGATGTAACTGGCATGGTGCTGCTCTGTCATGAGTACTGGGCTGTTCTGCCCCTGCATTGGTCTCCAAGACTCTGAAACCTTGTCTGTGAGGCTTGCTGGACAAGCTACTGAAACACAGTTACCCCCTCACAGCATCTATACTAGGCTGCTTAATTCTGCTTAGCATCACCAACACATTTTCCCCACCACTGTCAGGTGTTTAAAGGAGTGTCTGGGTCACCCTGGTTTCTGTATCTTCCCTCCTTTCAGCCCATGACTAGTGGATGACTTGGTCTGAAGAAATGACAACTGGGTAAGTACCATTTGGGCAGAAGGAATTCATTCAGACATATGTCTGAAACAACTAATGGAACCCATGAGCCCCGAGCTAACACTCTTCCAGCTCTCCTGGTACTCAGACTCACCTGTTCTGGCTGGCAAAGGATGCCTGGTCTATAGGCAGGATGCTCTCAGGCCATGGGGCAGTTTGGTTTGGAGGAGCCTGCTGTTGGTTATACTGAGGACCTCCCATGTTCATCTCTAATTCAGAAGGCCCTAAAAGAGGGAGGACAGAGAGAAAAAAAAAAGAAAAACCTAAATCTTGTATCTTATAATTTAGAAAGCACACGTTTATTGTGTAATAGCAAATAAAACTGCTGGTTGATGGAAAATGCAAAGACAGAAGCAGTTACAGGTGCAAATACAATTACACAGTTCTGGTGTGAAGTACAAATGAAAGCAATAAATACCCAGGTTCATAAAGCCACTTACCTTAGGGCATATCCAGATCAGCAGTAACAGCAGGAATCTCTATTCTCTTACTTGAAGCTTTTGTTTGTATGAAAAAAAAATGCTAACTTATTTTTTTAAGATCATGAAAATTTGAACGTAAGTAACTATGGTTTTCATGGCATGGTTTAACACTTGTGCAAGAGTTTGCACATTCAGATTAACAGAACTCCCAGCTCACTTCCACCCTGCAGCCACAGTGCGAGACTCCTGCCAGACTCCACTGGGTGCCTGTGGAAGATGGAAATGAAGAGATCTCCTATCTGCTATGCGGTGCACACAGCCAAGGCTCTGCAGACGCACTGCAGGGCCTGAGGAGCAGCACCTGCTCCAGGACCTTCCCAAGTGGCACCTCAGGCAGCTCCTCCACAGCAGGGCGCACACACGCGCACACATCACACACACACACACACACACACACACACACACACACACACACACACACACACAC